GGGACAATACAAAGACCAGCAGACAAACCGAGAAACACACAAGGATGTTTATTTTTAATCTGTAAAACTCTCTTCAGATGTGTGTGGGGATTTAGATTAAACCTGAATATGGCCTTAAATTGAATATTTATTGTATAGAGTCTGGCAGGCTCATTTAGGTACATACAGTAGCATTCAGTTTTCAGGAAATCAAACATTGGAAGCAAATAAAATAAAGACGGAGTGAGAAGCAAATCCTGAGAAAGTTTAGAAATGTGTGACAATATCTAAAGTCAAGGTGTTGGATATAGTTAAATATTGTCTTAATTTTAATCAACTAAGTTGCCAGTTTATTAGCTACAATAATTTAAACTAATGCAGTCTAATATAAAACAGTCCAGTCATAAATCCTACTTTCATGAAGGATAATGTTCAGTTATTTAGCTTACTGTCATTTATAAATTGGGTAAACAAAATCACACAAACACCTGTCAGTGTAACACAATAAACTCAACAGCACCACAAACTACAGCCTCCACATGTGTGTACAGTTCAATCAGCATTTCAGTTTCAACAAAACCTGAACATTATGTATTGTCTAAGATGTATTGCAGGACTGCTGTATTACACTGCATTAGTTTGACCTTGTTTTACACGAGGTGTACCTAATAAACTGAATGTATATTTTACCTGTGTTAAAAATTAACAATTTAACAGCTACACCAATGATTATGTTTTGTGTTGTAAATTTTATATTGACATGTAATTGTACTTACTTGTACTTTGTGGGAGCATCTTGTCATTGTGTGGCCCCTTTTTCTCTTGAGATTTGCCTTTTGCCTACAGGTACAGACCTGATATCATGCTGGGATGTGCATAAATGACCTCATTAAGCATTACAATTGTACATAAAAAAATAATCAAACACTCTCAGTTGATAAATCCTGCAAACACCCTGGGTAACTTCTAAGAAACTGTCTAGTCTAGGATAGACTCTGCCTCTCTAAAATGTATTTTTGTGTAATATTGTTTAGTTCATTTATACACAGATGAAACGCTTGAAATATTTACAGCTGAGTCGATTTACTTGTAAGTTGTGTCCTTAAGCAAGCGGATATGTACCTTGAAAATCCTGTTTCTTTGTCTTGGTGATTCATTTCTGAAGTGGATAAAAAGACTTTACAACAGACATGACACTTGTGAAGGAAAATTCATTGGCCAGAACGTTTTATTAATAACTTTATGTACACTTTTACACTTCATTAACAAAACAGCCATTCTACAATAACCAGGATAGTGCTCTGAACGAGGAGGATTCTGTCTCCAACATAATGCTTCAACAAGTGGCTCTGTTCCTTTTTATTTGGTTTGTTATTGCTGTCCTTCAACTCAAACAGTCTCTGTGTGAATCCAGTGTGTGATGAAGAGTGATACGGTGGACGTGCTGCTGTAGAAAAATACTACTGAAATGAATCTGCTGAACTTTAATAGCCGAATCCTACTGAGGTGGGGGCCCCTGATCTGTCTGGAGGTGGTGGGGCTGCACCATAATACTACAATCCAAATAGAGAAGCCGCAAAGAAAAGAGAAAAAAAAAAAAAGGTCACAGAAAGGTGCTCCCTCTTTAGCTGAATTCATACAATGTTGAACTCCTAACTCTTCCTGCTGTCTGCAGGCTTATAAAAACATTTCAGTCATGTTTTTTTTTTTTCTTTGACATACAACTCTCACGGTTTCTGAATTGAAAACACATACATTTTATATATGTTTTTTTATTTCTGAGAAACACAATCCGATTTTGCTTTTCTGTCATCGCCAAACAAACATCCCTCCTGTGTTGTGAGGCAAACCCCAAAGACAACCTTTGCTGTCACGGCAACATTCTGTGTGTGTGTGTGTGTGTGTGTCCATGTTTTTCTGTGTGTGTGTTCATTCGCTGGATTCTTGGCGAACGGCAGGCACAGTCGTTATTTGTTGTCAGTTGATGTATGACATGATTTTTACACACAGACACACACAGACACACACACACACACAGAGAAAACCCTCAACAAAACAAAGGCACTCTGGGAAGGATTGGGGCGGCTTGTGTGCTTGTGTGTCTGAAAGGAAACTTAAAGAAAGAAGTTTGTGTGTGTGTTTGTGTGCATTTGTGTGCATGGGGTTTGGTTGCCATTACATTCTTGACACAAAATGGCCCCTCTGATACCTTCAACTACAAAACCTCACACTGGAAAAAACATCTCCAAAAACAGCAACTTGTTTTACTCTCAGTGTCACTGTGTGTGTGTGTGTGTGTGTGTGTGTGTGTGTGTGCGCGCGCACGCGCGGCCTCCAGGTACATGAGGTGTTGGAGGGGGAGGACACCGGCGTCAACAACATAAGCTGCTGTTCCACCTCTTGTCATCATGGTGGTCAGTGCTCCGTCATTTTTAGTCAGCAGGGCAGGATCCTCTGGCTGAGTCCGTCTGCTCTGCATTTCAGTGTACGTGGTTACCACATCATCACCATCATCAAGTCTGTCAATCATGCTGAAGGGGAGGAAAACCAAAACAAAACAAAAAAGAAATCCGAGGAGGTGAGAACAGGGTAAACATTCAGGCATGAGATGGATTCCCCAGCAGGTAGAGAGACAGAGAAGTCCTCAGAGGCTTCCAGCTGTCGCCTCTACCCATAGTTCTTAGGGATGAAGCAGAGGGGGTCTTTGATTGGTTACTTTTCAAAACGATGATTTGAGGCGAAGGGGGTTTCCAGTGGTTATTTCACACAGAGCAGGCCGCCCACGTTGGCCACGAACTCCTCCAGGCTCTTGAGGAAGGCGACTTTCTGCTTGCGGTCCATGGTAGGCGGCGTGCTGCTGGCCGTCAGCTTGTTGAAGGCGTCTGCCAGCCGCTGGTAGATGACGGCGTCTCTCTGTGAGGAGAGCAGAGTCTCCACCAGCTCCGAGTACTCCGCCTGACAGAGAGGAGGAACACGCCACCAGCTCAGGGTCAAAGCTCAGAGATTTAATAATAGAGCCAATATTATTTGAGTTGTAAGTGTCTTGATGACATTGTTTCTCCACCAGAGAGCACTGACAAGTTTATTTTTCAGCTGTAAAATGTTGTACATAATGTCACAATTCTCTAAAAATAAAATATAAAGGATCTTTAACAACAGTCTCCTTCCATTTCCTGTCATCTCAAAATAAAAGGCATAAATGCCCAAACATTTGTTTAAATCATGTCTTAAATAATCAGCTTGTTATCAGATGTAAATATTGAGCTCAAAATTCAAGTATTGGCTTTTTATTATTTAAAGCTGGGGTATGCAATTTGTTTCAGTAGCATTAATCAACTATCATTATTACTAAGACAAGATCATCTTTATTGATGCCAAGCAGGGAAACTGAACAGAAGCATAACTGATCAGATGCATAAATATGAATCTGTCAAAAAATGTTTGGTAATACATCCATACCAAATCTAGTCTATAAAAGTGAAGCAGGAAAATAACTCAATAAATAAAATGGTACTAAAAACTAAATACACCAACATAAATAGTGAGCATAACGTTCATTGAGACAACAACACTGTTAGTAGCTGATGACTCTTCTTATGACTTTTAACTGCAATAAGATGTTTTATTATTTACATATTTATTTAATTCATTTTGTTAGTTTGTTTACATTACAGTATTTTATGAATATGTATTAATCTCTAACTGAAACTCTGCACAAGTTATGTACTGTTGTACTGCTGTCTGAGTTATATGCTATGACGCAGACTGGCCACTACATGACAGTGTTAAGAGTAGGTCAGACCTCCTTTATGAAAATTGTTACTGTTAATCTTTACTTGCATACTGAAAAATAACAGCTTGACATTTTCTACAATCCTGTTTGATTAATAAATATACTGTGTGAAAACAAGTTGTATTTACATCTCAAATCAACTTAAATTCTTTTTAAGTTTTATAATTTGTCTTCCAAACAGGATGTTTAGTCATATTTAAAACTTGGACGCTAATAGAAGGATTTCTCCTCTCGTGGAGACATTCAACATGTTATTTGGCTGTCTTCACAGTTTAGGTAGCCAGCAATGCAAAGTTACTGCTTGAAATTTGTCTATTAATATAAAGTCTATCCTTGATGGTGGGTTTCAGCCCAAAATAAATCAAATCATCAAAAAGTTGATTTATTTCAGTAATTCCATTCAAAAAGGGAAACTTGGATATTATATTCATTCATTACACACAGATGATATATTTCAAATGTTTATTTCATTTAATTGTGATGATTAAAACTGACAACTAATGAAAATCCCAAATTCAGTATCTCCGAAAATTAGAATATTACTTAAGACCAATACAAAAAAAGGATTTTTAGAAATGTTGTATGAGCATGCACAGCTCATTGGGGCTCCTTTTGCCTGAATTACTGCAGCAATGCGGCGAGGCACGGAGTCGATCAGTCTGTGGCACTGCTCAGGTGTTATGAGAGCCCAGGTTGCTCTGATAGTGGCCTTCAGCTCTTCTGCATTGTTGGGTCTGGCGTATCGCATCTTCCTCTTCACCCCATAGATTTTCTATAGCGTTAAGGTCAGGCGAGTTTGCTGGCCAATTAAGAACAGGGATACCATGGTCCTTAAACCAGGTACTGGTAGCTTTGGCACTGTGTGCAGGTGCCAAGTCCTGTTGGAAAATGAAATCTGCTTTCATCAGAGAACATAACTTTGGATCACTCAGCAGCAGTCCAGTCCTTTTTGTCTTTAGCCCAGGCGAGACGCTTCTGACGCTGTGTCTTGTTCAAGAGTGGCTTGACACAAGGAATGCGACAGCTGAAACCCATGTCTTGCATATGTCTGTGTGTTGTGGTTCTTGAAGCACTGACTCCAGCTGCAGTCCACTCTTTGTGAATCTCCCCCACATTTTTGAATGGGTTTTGTTTCACAATCCTCTCCAGGGTGCGGTTATCCCTATTGCTTGTACACTTTTTTCTACCACATCTTTTCCTTCCGTTGACCTCTCTATTAATGTGCTTGGACACAGAGCTCTGTGAACAGCCAGCCTCTTTAGCAATGACCTCTTGTGTCTTGCCCTCCTTGTGCAAGGAGTCAATGGTCGTCTTTTGGACATCTGTCAAGTCAGCAGTCTTCCCCATGATTGTGTAGCCTACAGAACTAGACTGAGAGACCATTTAAAGGCCTTTGCAGGTATTTTGAGTTAATTAGCTGATTAGAGTGTGGCACCAGGTGTCTTCAATATTGAACCTTTTCACAATATTCTAATTTTCTGAGATACTGATTTTGGGGTTTTCATTAGTTGTCAGTTATAATCATCAAAATGGAAAGGAATTAACACTTGGAATATATCAGTCTGTGTGGAATGAATGTATACATTATACAAGTTTCACTTTTTGAATGGAATTACTGAAATAAATCAACTTTTTGATGATATTCTAATTATATGACCAGCACCTGTAATTCTGTATTTGACAAGAGGACAACTTTAGAAATGAGATCTCTGTCTCTCTTGCAGGATAAATCACATCAAAAGAGCACAAAAGCTCAGACCACCATTAAATGACCAATCTAAAAAGCCTTCAGGTAATTTTACAAAGCAACAAACCAACCAGTTGTTCAGTGAGCACTATCCAGCTTTCTATAAGCCAATATCTCCGATATTAACCTTACCCATTTGTATTATATTTTTTTTACTATCAACCAGCAATAACCCAGACTTTCTCCTTTGGATATGAACAGGTTGAACCACAGGAGCATCCTGGTGCTGGCAGGTTGTGTGTGTTATTTACTTACCTGGTGCAGGCACACGAGTGTGTAGAGGGCTTCTCCTGCTGCCACCGTCATCTCTGTGTTGTGTTTTTGCAGGACCAGCATGTCAAACACCAACTGGAGGCACGGACGACAGAGTACAAGGTGTGAAAAGGAAAAATGATGAAGCAAAAGTGTACATCAAAATTAGTTTTTCAAGAACATGGATTCTACAGTTCGACAGCATAGACGTATTGATGTTTCACTTCTGTTTCAATTGCAGCTTTCTAAAAACACATTTGTTCAAATCAAGTTGTCTTTGCTTAACTGTCAAAAATCTATGGTACTTTATTCTTTTGACTCTGTGTTGTGTTTTGTAAGTCTTGTTCTGGCAGATTTGATCGTTACACATCGTTTACATGTTTTATTGTGGTAAAAATGCAGCCCAGCCAGGTGTGTGTGTGTGTAATACCTTGAGGAAGTGACGGGTGGCGATGAAGAGAGGCGTGTCCTTCTCCTGGTTTTTAGCACACTGCTCAGCCAGAGGAGACAAAGCCTCCAAACACAGCTGGCTGATCTCTGAACTCATCCTGAACACAGACGTTAAGAAGCAGAATCTACATAACAATTAGCTTCTTTTTTTCTGAACAGGGGCTCCTCCCTCACACCGCAACGCATCTGGCAGCTCCAGATGGAAGCAAGAGGCAATATGTGACAAATCTAAACACTGATGACCAGAAATGTAGGTAATTATTATCAGTAGGTGAAACTCTCCTCTGCTGCAGCCACATTTTAAGATTCAGGCTATCTGACAATATATGTTCTATAAGGTTTTGGTCCAAGCACCTGCAACGTTACAGTGTGAAATAACTTTTTTGAAGCAAATAATCTCTACTGAACAGACTTGTCTAGTTCTAAACTAGTAATAATATGAGAGATGTATGTGAAATAGTGATTTAACACTGTGACTTTGAAAGACTATTTACTTTATCTATTTTAAGAGGCTCCTAGGACTTTGTATGGTTTGAAATTTTGCAGATACACTGCCAGTGTTTCAGTACAGAAACCAAAATACTACCTCACTACGAGGAATGTTAGTATGTTTTTCTATTAAATCCCCTTCTCCATTTAACAGAAGCGGCCAAAGTTCTTCAAATATTAAATGTTCTATAAACAACCTGCAGTAGAAGAACAAAAATATAATTTAAGCCGTCTGGTCAGAGATAAGGAAAAGAAGAGCATGAATCTCAGCGAGATTTTGACACTAACCGTCTGAACTTAACTCTCAATATTCAGCTATGAAAGCGACTCAACAAGAGCATCAATCGTCTCTAAGTGAATCTGCACAGTCATAAACCAATTCCGCACAAGTGCACACACTGTCTCACACACAGCAGCGGGAGGATACGAGGTCATTCCCAGCTCCAGGGAGAACATGAGGCTTTTGAAGAGGTCCTCAGGTAGCTGTGGGATCTTTTCTGGAAAGATCTCACAGATGAAGGTGATGAGCTTGTAATACTGGTTACACAGAGAGGGGAACTGGAAAACAACGAGATCGGCACGAGTTCAAAGAATACGTCAGCGTAACAGATCCAGTTTGATGAGGAACACTGACAAGAAATGTGCAGTTTTACCTTGAGCAAGTCCTGAGACATGAGTGGAAGAACAATGTTGACACCATAGAGAACCACATCTGCTGCGGATACTGTCCGACTGGACGCCGTAGTTCCCTGGTCTTGGTTTCGAAACACCTCATCTAGAACACAACAAAACTGAATCTTAAGCAACTGAGGCCACATGGCTAAGGCTAAGGACTCAACTTGGCTGTGGATTTAAATACACATCCAGCCAATTCACCGGTGTCGCTGAAGTCGATGAATTCTTTGGAGAGCAGGTTTGTGAGCAGCTCCATGATTAGCAGCAGGTCCTGGTACTGGTCCTCCTCAGACGTGGCGTCGTTTCGCTTCCTGCTCTGGTTGTTTTTAGAGTAGACCTGCAGCAGCGTCAGACATGCCTCATACAGCTTCATGGACTTAGTCTGGATGCACAGAGGAGGAGACAGAAGCGACACTTACATCTCATACAGCTACGAGGAACCTGAAGCCACGAAGAGTTTCTACAAAATTCATGAGTTTTGTGGCTTCTGTGACCAAAACGAAAATGCCTAGACAGTCTTTGTCCTACCAGAGTTGAAATAAAACACCTTTTACCACATTTTTCTTTCTTAATACGTGAAAGATCTGGTATATTCCTGTAATTCCTTATTATATTTTCCAGGGATCCTCTGATATCTCCTCACCAGTTTGCCTCATAAAATCTTTTTAATTAGTCTAGTGTAGCTAACTCTTTCCTTTTCCATTTCCTTCAAGCATAAATATTTTTCTCCCCAATCAGGAACCACCTGATGAAAATTGTGTATTTATCTTCAGCTAAACTTGACGCCAGACTATTATTATCATCTTACACCAAGAAACAGCCAAAAAGTCACGAGAAAAACGTCAGAGGAGCACTTTAAGCAATGCAAAGCCCTACAAAATGCTTGCATCGTCGTATAAGAAGATCACAGCTCTGTTGAGCAAATGTTTCATTAATTACAAACGTATTATTAATTTCAGTTCAATGTCTATAGTGGGAAGAAAACTGACTAATGAATATCTTTTAAACGTGTTAAACACTGGCAGCTTTTATACATACAGTTATGTGTACAGAAGCAGCTGCTACAGAAAATCAACACCTGCAAGATAGTTTTAACATTACTATCTGCAGGTGAAACAGTGGAAGACCATGTAAGATGTGTCACTTACCTCTCCCAGGTAGCAGATCTGCTTGTGAGCAACTTCCACAAAAACCTCAATAATGAGGTTGATTGTCTCGGGCGTGTTGCTGTAGACCTGAGCAACAAAAGCAAATGTCAGATGAAATGCGAAGGTCATCTTTAATCACAAATGTTTACACCCTGACCAACGTTTGAAGGGCTCTTTCATCATTTTAATTTCACTGTGTAACGTAAGACACCTTTGAATTGAGAGTTTTCTTGTTGTTTCATTCAGATCAGTCCTCTAACCTAACGTTGTCAGAGTCACTGCCTGACTCTAAGCTACAGGGGAACAACACACATGCTACCTTTCACTGACTCTGATTCACCTTCCTAACCTGCTCTTACCTCCATGAGGCCGATGCAGTTGGACAAGAAGTCCATGAGAAAAGAGAAGAGCGAGGCCACGTTGTCGATCTGCGTCGCCTCCGCGATGCCACACAGCGCCTCTAACGTGGCGACGATTTCCTGTTTGACAGCTTCCTCCTGGCTGATCTGGGCAAAGTTCTCCTGATTGATGAGGTTGAGGAAACGCTGCTGGAGAGGGTGAAGCACCTGGATGGACGGACAAATGGAGAGAAACAGGAAGTTTATTTACAAATCAAAATGGACTGTTGCCTTTACAAATGTCTGTAAGGTGTTCAGAAGGGACACACGGTTTTATCCGCCACATTTGTCAGGTCTCCAGACATTCAGATGCAGCCAGTAGAAATTTCAGCAACTACCTTCACTTTATTTTGAAACTAAGTAACGCGTTTAATGTGGCTATTTTATGTTTTGCTTTAATTGCAGTGCACTGTTAAGCTCCTCTGGCAGGACTGAAGAGGCAGTTTTTAATATTCAGAGGCAGCTTACTTTCTTTGGACAGACCTGCAACAAAACAGACTGGAACTTCTGATTGGTGTTCGCCTCAAACTTATGAGTCATGAGTAAAAATACTCATACAGAAAGACACTGCTATATCCCTGTGACTGCTATACTTCTGCAACTAACAATTATTTTCATTATGGATTAATCTGCTGATTACTTTCTCTATCAATTGATTAATGGTTTGGTTTGTAAAAATCCTGAAAATAGTGACAAATGCTTTCACAATTACCCAGAGTCCAAAGTGACACCTTCACAATGCTTTTATAGTCCAACCAACAGTCCAAACCTGCTGGAAATATTAAATGTTTTTACATGAAAAATTACTTTGAAATCTAAACAGCTAACATTTAATTTTCAGTCAGTTGACCTTTTGATTAATTGAGTTAATCGTTTGAGCTTTACTTGCATTACTGTTGGTAATTTAATTCATAAAGTATTATATTTTTTAAATTTTGTGATTTGAAATTAACTCAAGCTGTCAGATATATTTAGTGAAGTGAAAAGTACGATATTTCCCAATTGAGATATAGTAGAGTAAAAGTAGAAACTGGCATGAAAAGAAAAAGAAATGTAAAATTTTACTTGAGTAAATGTACTTAGTTACTGTCAAAATAAAGCTAAGTTACTCGAGTCAACGGATAAAAGTAATTTTTGGTGCATGTGAGGAAAGAGGAGGAATGCAGAGATGTAACAAGGGAGTGTTTGATCAGTTGTTGGGTCCATCTCTCCTCTTCCTCCTCCAACAGAGCCATCCAAGTTCAGACAAAGCAGCTGCAGGAGCAAACAGCTGCCGTCTCACTGTACACCCCCCGTAATTACTCTGGAGTCATTGTGGCTTTGCACCCCCATTTACTACTGTCAGCCTATTAAGACAAAGGCCTCCAGGATCATGAAAAGGATCATGTAATACACACGGGAGAAAGACTCCACGGGGGAATATTCTCAACTACATCCATCACTCCTCCTCGTCGGATCTGACTGGAGTCTGCAGAGCTCTATAACTTAAATCCAACTTAAAGGATAACTTCAGTTAATTACAGTGTGGGTCTTAGAAAAGATCACCAAAATTAAAATAATATTGTACTCACTAAAGTAATGGCTGAGATCTAGAAACACAGCAACTCTGCTACAACAAGGTCCAACAGGATAAGACAAGGAGCCGTCAGAAACCACTTTATGTAGAGGAAAGTGAAAGCACCTCAAATGTTGGTGATAATCCTTCACTGCACACCAAAACTGTGATGTTTACACAGTTTGGGTGACAATATTACTACTTCTCTTTCAAATAATTCTAACTAACCTGGAGATTTGTTTACAACCTGTGTGATCCGCTGAGAACAGAACATTCAAAGCTATAAAAATAAGCCCCAAGTTGAAATTAGAATCAGAAAAATCTTTTGAACACAACTTCAAAGAACAGTTCGGACATTTTAACTTTTAACAAATTAATGTCATTTACAGGCCTCATGTTTGCCAGCTTGCGAGTAGATGTGGTGCACTAAACAACAGCTTACACAGAGAATTGAATCAGTACAGTTCCATGATGCTTCCCCCTTGTACCGCTTATTAATAAGCCCAGTGTTACCACCAAGTGTCATTTTGATTGAGTTTTTTAAATATATTTTTCAGCATATTGGTCTGTATTAAATAGTTTAGAGGGAGAGAAACAGTTTTTTAAGTACTTACTGAAGGTTAATTATTACAGGCCTGTTATATGGTATTTTCATTATCAATCAAAATCAAATCGAGTTGATTGTCACATATGCAATCATACACAGTACAACATCTAGTGAATTTATAATTTATTCTCTGCTTTGTAACCCATCCTTAGCATTAAGAGCTGTGAGCAGCTACTGTACCTGGGGAGCAACTCCAATTCTAAGCCAGAGTGTTGGTCAAGGGGTGACCCAACGTAACAACGAACATGCAAACTACACCCAAATATATTAAACTTACAATGATGTACACTCATAAAAGCATCAAATTCTGTCTGGAAGTGATTTTTTTCTTGCTAAAAGAATTATAAACAAGTAATCGATCGACTATACACCGTCATACACACATTACCTCAGCCCAATATTGCTGTTTGGCATCAGAGTCCATGTGTGCGAAGCCTCCCAGGACCAAAGCTTTCATCAGAGACCTCTGCACGGAGCTGGACAGCAGGTGGAGGGGTGGGCTGCGGCTGGCAAACTGCTTCGCCAGGCTCCACCAGCTCTCACACTTTACCACGATGTTGGCCCTGAGCAGACAATGAGGCAGAGTGTCTGTTAGAGTCTGGGGTGTGGTAGTGTCTGATGTGACCCCCAGCTAGATTTTACAGATATTACTCAAAAGGCCTCAGAACAATGGTTCCAAACCTTTTTGACTATGATCACTTTTACAAAGCAATGCCGTATCTTTTTTTATTTATTATACATAATGCTTGTTTCTTTTTCTTCTTTTTGCTATCTTGTTTTTGATGCCATGTCTTGCATATTGCTCTAACCATGATTTAATTTTACCTGAAAGAAAATGCTTCTTAAATCATTCTGAACACACTCATTTTCACTTACCCCAAAAGTGTAGTTCATGAAAAGCTGATATTTTGGTGATAAAAGTTTTCATACAACAGTTACAACATGATGAGTAGTAACCAGATCAATAGATTTCCCTTTTAAAATTGTTATATCCAATATCAAATGGAAGCCGAGAGGCTTAAAACTATTCTGTATATTGGAGTAACAATCAAAAATGCTATTGGTTGCAGTATAGAACTACGCAATACAAGTTAGGATATCTCGGGCCGCCATCTAATGACTTAAAAAAAAATCTGGCCCGATGCCAGACTTATTTGCCGACCCCTGGTCTATAAAATGGCCATCACAAGTATCTGACTAACAATCCAAAACCCAAAGATGTTCAGTAGCTGCAACCAGAGAACAGGCACTAACTAATTTTCTGCCGAATGACTAATTGTTGCAGCCCTTCACCAGCGTCCTCACCTCTCCCTCTTCTCTACCAGCGTCACCAGCAGCTCCACGGTGTCGTTGGCCAGCTCAGCCTCTGAGCTCCACACTGACAGGTTGTTGATCACCTTCTCCAGAAGATATCCCACAATCCACTGGGCTCCCTCAGTGTCTGCACCAAACGCTGTGCTCAGGGGGATGCTGATCTGAGGGAACACAGGAAAAAACAGTTAGGAGGAGAAACATCTAGTTTACTGATAATATGGAGAAAAGATATACCGAAGACATAGTGCAGTGTGACTGCTGACAGAGATGGGATGTGTGGAGATTTATGTATGATGTTATTTAGAGGTATGTCAGCTATGCGGGACCACGAGAGGAGCAGAAAGTTTCATACCTGCTCGTAGAGCTTCTCGTCCATCAGCAGGTACGTCTTGGCCCATCGTCTGAGGAACCACATGATGTCCTTCCCCATCTGTGGGCTCAGAAGCCCTGTCAGACTCGCTCTCGTTGCCCTGGACTCAACCTCTGATGTCCGCAACACCGCTGACAGCAACCTGTGACAGAAAAATATAAAAGAGAGCAGTTGGATTTTAAAGTTGAAATATGGCAAGAAGAAACATGGGAATATGAAGACAAGATGACAGAGAGGACAACACAAGTAGCAGATAAAACACTGAGAAGGAAAGAGAACAGGGGTGTAGTAGTTGAGAAGAGACGGTAAATAATATTGACTGAAACTGATTAGATAATACAAACAAGCTCATGACAAGATAGGGAGAACACTATAAAATCATTCTGGTTTCAAATCACAATAAAGGCAACAGTAAAGCCACATCTATAATTTCTGCATCAGGAATGGTCAGCGTAATGCCAGTTCTGTCATCTGCTTATGTCTGCAAGAGGTCTGCACAGATTGTCCGATGGAAAAAAAGGACAATGCCAACAGACGTGTGATCGCGTAATCTTCTGTAATCGTCCCACAGAGATTAAACCATGCAGATACAACACAAGGACTGCAAGAATCATGTAGTACATGTAGTACAAATTCAACTTCTACACCCACTCATGTCTGTTTTGGAACTGCTTTCATGCCTTTATGTGGCAAATAAGGCCCACAGTGGAGCATTATACAAACCATGTCAATGCTTAAGTGAAAAAGAAAACTAGTAAAGATCACATTTTCATGAACAGTTTTTTTTTTTTAAGATTTGAAGATTATATATTTATTTGTATTTTTTCCAAAATGTCTTGTGGTCCAGGTCAAATCACAAACTCTTAAAACTATATAATCAAACCTTAGAAGATTATATAGTCATCATCTTGATGCATTTTGTGCGAAAGAGTGGGCTTCACAATGTCACACAGTATCTAAAGGACAGAGAGACAAAAGGCTTAAAGCAGCTTCTGGGTCCGCCCCTCTAGGTTGAGGACAGAGCACAGTTTCACATTGTTTGCAGAACACAAAACCATGTTGACATTTACGGGGCTGGGGTCGTCCACTCACTATTAGGAAACTTGATGCCGTTGGTCACTCGTCTCTGCAATCCTCTGTCATTATTGTCAACTCCCCCCTTACACACGCACACACTCTAGAAACACAGGGGCTCAATGACCTTCAATAGACAATGTCACTGGCTGCTGTGACTATCTATTGTTGTCACAGTGATTATCTGTACACACACACACACACACACACACACACACACACACACAGACAAGCATCCAGTGTGACTGCCAGCAGCCTTGAATTGCCATAGTCACATACTGTCGGGCCGCACAATTAATTGATGTTGAAAAATAAATCCCATCTGATCACAGCAGCTAGATACGCTTTGCATCCCGGAGTCAATTTTATTATATGTTGGTGTATTTTTAGAGCAATAATTTTGTACCAACGTTCAACAACCACACGGGGGGGAACCCACTGTTCACGAGAAGAACAACGTCTAATCCCACAGCAGCAGAAACAGACCACAATGCAATGCAGCAACAAGAGAGGCTGTGTTTTATAAAATGCCACAGTGATGAACACACATTTCTGCTTTTACAGAAAGTACTGGCTGAAAATTTGTTTTGAAAAGTTAGAAATGTCAGCCCTTGGGGAAATAATCGTTCAATGATTTTATTGATCAGCAACTCCTTTGACCACCCTGCAGTTACATTTTTGTCATTTTGAGCTTTGGTATAGTAGAAAACTTTTTTTAACAGCAACAGCAAATGCTTTATCCATTTCAGTGCTGATTACAGAAACTGTGTTTGGAATTTGGAAATGCAGGCTCCGATTCTAACTAGTTATTTTTATTACTGATAAATCTCCTCCTTTTTCTTTTTCTCTGATTAACTGATTAATCATTCAGCCTATAAAATTTTCAATATTTTTCTGGCAGATGCTCAACTAACTATCTGAATGTAAGAGTGTGTGACAGTGTCTTGTGTAGGTCACCATGGCCTCATCAATCAGTAGATAATTAATCTACCACAAAAACATCAAACATTCATATTTCAGCTTAAGATGTGAGGATTTGCTTCTTGTTTCAGTTTTTATTATTGTAAATTGATATTTTTGGACGCTGGTAAGATAAACTACGCAATTTGAGGGGGTCACCTTGGGCTCTGGAAAAACATAGGTTAGGTTAGAGGAAGCTCAGGTTCTGAAGTGTAAGGATGAGACATCTCCATGTATCTCATCCTTACACAGAAAATGAGCCCATGTTATTAGTTTTATAAACCACAGTGAGAGGATCTTTGGCTACGTTCAGACTGCAGGCCTTAATGCTCCAATTCCAATTTTTTTCCCAGATCCGAATTTTTTTGTTTGACAGTTTCACATTACTGTTTAAATGTGGCCCATATCGACTCCAGTGTGAATTGTCCGTGGCCTGAACGTAACCCGCATGTAAGAGAATAACATGACTTACATGCAGCACGCTGTTGCGGCTACAGAAGTAAACAAGGAGCAACAGAGGTTTGCTCCGGCTAGCTCACGGGAGACTGATGTTTTTTATTGTCCTCTCACAGGTCACATTTCTCCAGAATTATGACAACGTTCACAACTTTCTGCTTTTTATTACGGTTTCTGGCGCTTTACAACGCAACTGCCCCACAACTCTCTTCCCCCACTGTGTCCGCTCAGACCAGTCCGGTGGATTTCAGGTGTAAGAAAGGGAATTTGTGAGCAGGATAGCGGTAGAGGAGGAGAGAACATGTTTATAATGGCTTTAAGTGGAGCTTTAAGTGGAGCTTCTTCGTTCACCGCCGGCTCCGTCTACAGCAGAACAGTTCTCTAGAGTGATGTCAAAGTCGCTCAATTCCGACCTAATTGTCCAGACTGAGGTCGCATTTAAAAAGATCTGATCTGTAGAGATTTGGACTACATATGGGAGTGGTCCAATTCTGAACTGGAAAAGATCAGATTCCACGTGACTTGGCCTGTTCACACATAAAAAGATCAGATCTGAGTCACATATGGGCAAAATATCAGATTTTGGATCACATGGCCTGCAGTCTGAACGTAGCCTTAGTTACTGTGTTTTACTGGCTGCACATCAGATAGTGTTTTAGTGTGAAGGAACTAACCCACCTTTCAGTAGTTTCAGTCCCTACGAAACGTTCAAACCCAAAAAGGGATAAATCATTGCTTACAAGCTCATGAACCCTGACACAGAACAAAAGAAAAAAACAGCACTTACAACATGTTTTTGTGCAATGCAAAATACAAAATGTCCAAGTTGCTCCATCCAAATAATCTAGATGTTTAATGGCAAAATGTGAGAAAAGCCTTAAACTCACTTTGGAAATTCATGACTAAAGAAGAAGTAATTATAGAACACAATTATACTATAGTTACAAATCAATTTGCTTCTATTGCCAAAATGTGAACTTTGTTTAGTACCTGTGACTGAGTCTGTGCGGTTGCAGCCCGGTATAGATGAGGC